GAGAGGAGCAGTGGAAGTGTGCATGTTACAGACATTGCTCGTGTCTGTGACTGCAAATCCAGAGGAATCCTAAGGGCCTTTTTTGTGGTGACCCCTGACATTATATACACAATGAATTACACTGGGAAGGACATAAATAAAATCAAATAACTTCAAAAAAAAACTTTACCAGTGTTATTACAAAATCTCATTTATTATAAACAGGTATGATAGATAGGTTTACAAAAAGGTGATCAGCTTGGCTTTCATTGAATAACTCACCAAAGCATACATAATTAGAACCCAGCCGAATGTAGGCACCAAGTAAAGCAATCACACTGACAGCATTGTCTCGCGCATTCTTCCAAGAATCAAAATACATCACCAACTCTAACATTTTCGTAAGGTCACTTGTACAAGAAAACGTGCTGAATCTGGTTCGCGCATCACTTAGAAATGCATTCAAAACAAATATTAACAAAGATGAAAGCAAAAATGTAGAAAAGCGAATGCACCAAAAGTCAAAGACATTAGAAGCAAAGTTGTAAAGGAGGGACGGCACCTTGTACCAAGCCTTTATTGAAACAATTATTTGGTTTTGATTCAACGCAAAAAACATGGAACATTTCTATAACATGATGGGATACAATCCAAAAAGGTTATCTTGACCACAGTCCACTGGGCACAACTCATCCAAACCCCACTGGAAATAATAAGTTTGTAAAAGTTTACTTTATAGATTGTGCTCATAGTTCTTTACCCCTAGATTCAATATATCTTGCAATCTTAAAAGTGGGTTCTTTTGTAAAGTGCACTGTTTGGAGAAATAACCTTTGCTCCCTATGCCAGATGCTCCAACCCATTTGTGGATTTTATTTTATTTTTTATTCATCTATAGTCTTGATCGGTTGGGTCCCAAGGAAATTTCTTTGGAAAACAACATGTTAACAGCATTCCACTTTTAATCTTTTCTTTTAGTTCCCACAGATGGGAAAGGAGTGCTTATCAGGCAGAAGCAGATAGTTGACATAAATATGCAAGACCAACCCATTCACTTTGGGACGGAGAGCGAAAGACACGCAGGGAGCAAAACAGCAATAGCAAGTATGTTCTGATCTAGGCTGTTCCTAGAAACAGACTGCACTATAATCAAACTGCTGCATACAATCACAATAAAAAAGAGGCTGAGATGAATTGGAGAAGCTAACAGACATTTTAGATAATTGTGATTATTGGAAAGAGCAGCCACAAATGGGGAAACAGTTACTGTTTCACCTGCATATACTGCATCTGACTGTGCAGGTTGCATATATGATGGCATGAAAGAATTAGTTCCTCGGCTGATTAATTCCTCTGGAATAAGAAGATAGGTTTGTTCAAAAGGACAAATTCACAGCTTCGGTATAACATGCAAGCAAAATCATAGAATCAGCCTTAGAAGCTCGAAAAGGCCACCAAAACTACCGTATATTCCGGCATATAAGACGACTGGGCGTATAAGACGACCCCCAACTTTTCCAATTAAAATATATTGTTAAGACAATTCCCATGCATAAGACTACACCCGCGTATAAGACGACCCCTGACTTTTGAGAAGATTTTCTTGGGTTAAAAAGTAGTCTTATACGCCAGAATATACTGTACCCAAAACACGGTTTTCCATACTCTCACATGGAGCGTGTTCTAAGATTGGAAAAATTCATTATATCTTGAAGAAAAGCCCCATATTTTAACATCCAAGGTGCATCTGTAATTTAGTTTTCAGTGATATATGTAAATATTACTCAACATGCAGCAGTCATGGTCTTTCATTTCACCAAATCTTTTAAATCTTCCAGGTGTGTGCATTGGTTAGACCACATCTGGAATATTGTGTCCAATTCTGGGCACCACGATTGAAGAGAGATATTGACAAGCTGGAGGGCGACTAAAATGATCAAGGGTCTGGAGAACAAGCCCTATGAAGAGCGGCTTAAAGAGCTGGGCATGTTTAGCCTGAAGAAGAGAAGGCTGAGAGGAGACATGATAGCCATGTATAAATATGTGAGAGGAAGTCATAGGGAGGAGGGAGCAAGCTTGTTTTCTGCTGCCTTGGAGACAAGAACGCAGAACAATGGCTTCAAACTACAAGAAAGGAGATTCCATCTGAACATTGGAAAGAACTCACTGACTGTGAGAGCTGTTCAGTAGTGGAACTCTCTGCCCCAGAGTGTGGTGGAAGCTCCTTCTTTGGAAGCTTTTAAACAGAGGCTAGATGGCCATCTGTCGGGGGTGATTTGAATGCAATTTTCCTGCTTCTTGGCAGGGGGTTGGACTGGATGGCCCATGAGGTCTCTTCCAACTCTGTGATTCTTTCTGACCATTCATTCAGAAAATATTCATTGATTTAAAAATCTTTTGATAGGTTATATAGTTTTTTCAGCATAAGCTTTCAATTTATCCGTGTGTGATCAATAAACTTACGACTTGGCGAGCAGTTGCTTACAATGATTTTACTAAATGTTATACCGTGATGGGAATGTTCCTTGCTACTGTCCAAATAATCAGCGAACTTCTATCCGCCAAAATTATATGTAATTTTTGGGTTCAAGAGGAGGGATAGGCAGCTTTCCAATCATTTTCTATAATGCCATTTTCAAACTGATGGTTTCTGTAGAAGCTACGTCACTCCTACTCTTGTTATGAATTGTATTTGTCAGCCTCCTACATAATCAGCATTCCCATTAATATAATGAATGTGCAATGAATCATTAGCGCAAAGCAATATTATCACAGGTTTTAAAATTACAAGGGAGCACTGGAACAATAAGACGTAATTTTCCCCAAAGGCCGAGATTCTGTAGCAAATAAACAGTCAGTCTCAAGGACGGTCTTTCCATTTCGCTTGAGCATTTACAAGTGATATGGAAATTAGTATATGAGGAACTAAATACTATGTGTTCAAGGGGAATTGAAATATCTGACCAATGCTGCTGCTTCCCAATAAAATGTTCTGCCAGTCAGCTGCAACGAAGTTCCGTGGAGGCAAATCAGACTTAATTGAGATTGAATATTCTGATTTTATTTTATTTTATTGTCATGTCAGGAGTGACTTGAGAAACTGCAAGTCGCTTCTGGTGTGAGAGAATTGGCCGTCTGCAAGGACGTTGCCCAGGCGACGCCCAGATGTTTTGATGTTTTATCATCCTTGTGGGGAGGCTTCTCTCATGTCCCCGCATGAGGAGCTGGAGCTGATAGAGGGAGCTCATCCATACTCTCCCCGAATTCGAACCTGTGACCTGTCGGTCTTCAGTCCTACCGGCACAGGGGTTTAACCCACTGCGCCACCGGGGGCTTCTGATTTAATAAAAATATTATCCAAGCCTAATTTTAGATGGATCAGGAGCACACTGCATTTAGATTCGACTGAAATAATTAAACATGAGTGAAAAACACAGCCATCCAACTCACATTAATTTTACCTCACCAACACACCAAGTAGACTGTGCCCAATTTCTCTTAATATTTTAACTAATGGGAAGACTGAGTGCTATATCTAATAACTAAACATTTACATTGGTTCCTGTCTAGAGATGGGAAGGCCTGAAAAAAAAACTGAAAAATTATGAATTTTTTTTTGTTTTTTCCAAAGCCATTTTTTCCCCAGAAAAATTGAAAAGTGGGTAGAATATGTTCTTTTCCAATGATAAAAGGCCAGGATTAGCACACTAAGCTGCACAAAATCTTGCCGATCAAAAGGTTCGCAGTTCAAGCCTGGGTCAGGGTAAGCTCCCACCATCAGTCCCAGCTTCTGCTCACCTAGCAGATTGAAAACAGCAGTGTGAGTAGATAAACAGGCACGGCTTTAATCGAGGAGGTAATAAATGGTGCCCATATTGACATGCCGGTGACTCAATCAGAAGTACGTTAACGGACAATGCTCCTCGGCATGGAAGATGGAGAGACAGCACCCCCCGCTCCCCCGGCCGGAGTCGAGCACAGCATACAGATACCAGAAATGGAAAAATATGGGAAAGCCTTTACCTCTGTCTATGTATTGTCTGTCCTTGTTAATTGTTTAACTGCACTGAATGTTTGCCGCATATGTGTTCTGTAATCTGCCCTAAGTCCCTTTGGGGAGATAGAGCGGAATATAAATAACGTTGTTGTTGTTGTTGTTGTTGTTGTTATTATTAATTTTTATGCAAGTTTCAACAATAGTACATAAAAAACAAGGGGAAAAAAAGGAAGATGGATAGGTACAAGTTGATGGAAGGAAAAGAAAGAGAGAGAAAACATAGTGGGTAGTGGAGGTGATGAGAGGACGTTTATAATCTTCTTGCCCTCTCCTTTCAGTTGTTATTATTATTATTATTATTATTATTATTATTATTATTATTATTATATGACATGCTTTTCAAACTATATAACATGAAGACCTTAATGAAAGCTTTCTGAGACTTTTTATTTCTACTCACTTTTTTACTTTTTTCGGGGGGAAATTACTTTGGAAAAAAACAGGAGAAAAACTGTTTCCCCCCCCCAAAAAAATTTTTTTTTTCATTTTTTCCCCCCAGGTCTTCCCATCTCTTATTCCTATCATGTTATTTTACAGGGGTTGTAAACATTTTTAAAGAAAAACTTGTAATGTCATTTATATTATCTCCATTTTCCGTTAAAGGACTATAAATGGAAAGCTTCACTCAGCTCTCCTTTGTCTTTGGTTTGTAAGGGGTGTCACAATTCACTAAATGAAGATATCATTTCCTATATGATCTTTAGCCTCCCCAAACATGTTTTAGGGAAATGAGAAAAATAAATTTACTTGACTAAAGGTGGAGCTCTTCCAGCATGCAGTTGAATGTGCGATGAAACATTTCTTCATGCTTAAGGTTTAGGGAACCGAGGGAATGTCTTTTCTTAAGGTACCAGGTTCGTGATTGTGTCATGTGTGCGGATATTTGCAAAAGTAGATTTCCCCCAAGAATCTTTGCAAGGGGACAGTTGTAAACATGAATACATTTAGCACCCAATAAGGCTGCTTTTTGGTGTACACATTCCATAAAGACCTCTCACATTGCTCCCTTCTTTCATGCTATCCCCAGGTTCTCCTTCATCTTCTCATAGACGACATAACTGATGCTGACGGCAGGAAGCACCTTCATGAAGTTAGGAGCAATGCCTCTATAAAGTCCCAGGGGTCCTTCCTGAGCAATTATTCTTTGGAAAAGAGCAACCATATTGAGCTGGGGGCCACCATCCACCATGGCTAAGGAGGAAAAGAGGGAGAGAGGGAAAGAGAAACGTTTACTTAAATTATTATTACTATTATTATTATTATTATTATTATTATCATCATCATTATTTGAAACACCACAAGATGAGTCCACAGCAGACACTCTGCTGGCTGTTGTATTGGATCACACGTCAGACACCTCCCAATAATAATAATAATAATAATAATAATAATAATAATAATAATTATTATTATTATTATTATTATTAGCTGCACATCAAGATTAGTACACAGCAAACTAAATCACTATGCTGGCTTTTGTATTGGGTCACATGTCGAACACGTCCCAAGTGTCTAGGACTATGTGATTTATCGGCAAATAACGCATACAGATCCAAGTAGGGTGGCCTTTTGCAGCGGACAGATGGTGATTTTGTCAGCATCATTTTTTTTAAGTGCTGGCTAAGGTCCTTAGGCACAGCACCCAGTGTGCCAATCACCACTGCAATCACCTTTACTAGTTTGTGCCAGTCTTTCCCGTTCGATCTTTAAATCCTCGTGTTGAAAAATCGAACTTATTATTATGTATACCCCACTTTATCTCCCCTGAAGAGGACTCAAAGTGGCTTAACATAAAAGTATCAGCATAACAGTTTAAGTATACAAACATGCAAATATGCGAATTTAAAGTATACAAATATGGGCCGGGCTGGTAGCACAACTGGTTAATTTAAAGTATACAAATATGGGCCGGGCTGGTAGCCCAATTGGGTTGTTGTAGGTTTTTCAGGCTGTATGGCCATGTTCTAGAAGCATTCTCCCCTGACGTTTTGCCTGTATCTATGGCAGGCATCCTCAGAGGTTGTGAGGTCATGACCTCACAACCTCTGAGGATGCCTGCCACAGATGCAGGCGAAATGTCAAGAGATAATGCTTCTAGAACAGTGGTTCCCAACCTGTGGGTCCCCAGATGTTTTGGCCTACAACTCCCAGAAATCCCAGCCTGTTTCCCAGCTCTTAGGATTTCTGGGAGTTGGAGGCCAAAACATCTGGGGACCCACAGGTTGAGAACCACTGTAGAATATGGCCACATAGCCCGAAAAACCTACAAGAACCCATTATTTATATTCCGTCCTATCTCCCTGAAGGGACTCAGGGCAGATTCCAATCATAAAAAGGCAAACACTGAATGCAAATAACAAGCAATATACACATAACAAAAATTGACAACCCAACATATAAAAGCAAATTGTAACTTAACTAAAATTAAGTTGAAAACACATCCTATTACATTAAACAAAACATCAAACAAAAGCGTAAATTTCCCAGTGCCTCCTCTGATGACCACAGTTGGTCTACAGTTGGAGATGCGGTTCATCAAATAGCCTGGACCCGAGACGTTTACTCACCTTGAGCCTGCATTCGAGTTCGGATAAGGGCAAGAGGATAACTGGCTAACTGGCCACAGGTACTGGATAAAGTACCACATCCCAGTAATACAAGCACTCCAGGATTGGCTGAGTCTGTTGCATATTTTTCTAGCCATGTCTTCTTCAATGCCTGTTAAGATGAATATTGCGGTAAGTGAAGAGAGGTATATTTGGAAACCATCAAGAATTCGGACATGTATTTGTTTGCACAATTTGGTAATTTCAAATACCGTGAAACCTCTCCCTTCCTAGGCAATACAATATATTATTATTATCAATCAGCAGGTCAAATATACTCAGAAACAGGACTAACATTCGAAGCATCCAAAATGTGTGTTGGCCAGTCTGTTGTAGATAGCTAACAATCAATTGGCAACTACAGTGTGCAATGAGCTAAGGCAATTATTATTATTATTATTATTATTATTATTATTATTATTATCTTTATTTGAACCCCGCTAACATCTCCCGAAGGACTCGGTGCAGCTTACAAAGGCCAAGGCCCTCAATAAAACAACAGCATAAAAAATACAAACAATAAAACTCAAAAAGCAAACCAATAAACATCAAAGTAATAACAGTAAAAGAATAAAACAATACATCATAACACTAAAAACTAGGGCCGGACCAAATGTAATGGATAAAGTTAAAAGTGTTGGGCATGACAGGTGACATATAAGGATTTTAGGGGTAGGTGCAATGTGCAGACAATCTTAAATCTCTAGTAAAGTGCGTTTCGGACATGATGCTGGGAGTTTCCTATTCTGGAAAGGCACACTGGAACAGCCAGGTCTTCAAGCTCTTCCTAAAGACTGCCAATGTTGGGGTTTGTCTGATGTCCTTGGGGAGAGAGTTCCAGAGTCGGGGGGGCACCACAGAGAAGGCCCTGTCCCTCGTCCCCACCAAACGCGCTTGCGACGCAGGTGGGATCGTGAGCAGGGCCTCTCCAGATGAACGGAGGGATCGTGCGGGTTCATATACGGAGATGCATTCAGCTAAAAAGCATTCATGTGTTGCCTTCATGTGCTACAGGATACACAACAATCCCACATGTACGTTGTTAAAAAAAATCACTACCCACAGAGCACTGTCACCAACAGGATACCAGCCTCCAGTTCTCTATTGTCATGAGACATGTTAGGCTCTGCAACTCACCTCATAAACAGCCAGGTCTATGCCAGCATAAGGAATTATGCCCAAAATATTGGGGATATAACCTTTGTAAAAAGCCATCACACCTTCTCTTCTTAGAATTTTCTTCGCACAGTCAAACATTCCAGAGTATTGTCCCGTTTTACCCACAGCCAATCTGGTCTTCATCACCTAGGGAGTTGAGAAAACATCCGGGGTTAGTCACGTCTCCATCTAAGTGATCCAACTCTACTGGTGCTATGGCTAGATTAATGACAGAGATGGGGATGTGGCCAGGCACCCCTGATATCTGGCTAGCAGAAAGCTATGGCAGCCATGTCCTCACTGTCTCTTAATTACTCAACCCTGTGCATTAAAGAACATATGAGAAGCTACACAGGTACAGTTCTGCAATTCTGATTATTTTTCTTGTGGAACTATCAAAGAACTACAACGGAGTGCATTGCCACTATAAACAAATATTTTTCTATACATATTTAATTACACTATGTAACACAATTTTTGTTCCTGGGTTATAAATGTCATTTCCTAATTGGTTCTATCATAAAATGTGGAGAAGGTATTAAACTGCAAAAACTTTGTTTTTGTGGAACATCTTGCAGCACATTTTGCTGTAGTTTCTCAGTGAGTATTTCTTCGAATCACAATCAATTCAACATAGAGTTCCTGTGAGTTTTCCAAGCCATATGGCCATGTTCCAGAAGCATTATCTCCTAACATTTTGCCCAAATCTACAGCAGTTATCCTCAGAGGTTATGAGGTCTGTTGGAAACTAGGCAAGTGAGGTTTGTTTCTCTGTGGAATGTCCAGGGTGGGAGAAAGAACTCTTGTCTGTTGGAGGCAAGTGTGAATGTTGCAAATGGCCACCTTGATTAGCACTGAATGGCCTTGCAGCTTCAAAGCCTGGATGAATCCTTTGTTGGGAGGTGATTAGCTTGCCTTGATTGTTTCCTGTCTGGAATTCTCCTGCTTTCTTGAGTGTTCTTTATTTACTGTCCTGATTTTAGAGCTTTTTAATACTGGTAGCCAGATTTTGTTCATTTTCATGGTTTCCTCCCTTTGTTGAAATTGTCCACATGCCTGTGGATTTCAATGGCTTCTCTGTGTAGTCTGACACGGTGGTTGTTCGAGTGGTCCAGCATTTCTGTGTTCTCAAATAATATGTTGTGTCCACATAGGTTCATCAAGTGCTCTGCTATGGCTGACTTCTCTGGTTGAATTAGTCTACAGTGACTTTCATGTTCCTTGATTCGTGTTTGGGCATTGCTGCATTTGGTGGTCCCTATGTAGACTTGTAGACTGATGAACCTTCGACAACACAATTCAACATAGTTTGTGGCAGCCTCAAAAATGAAGTTTCTGGAGTATAACAATGACATTTAAAGTAAGTGAAGCACAATTAAACAGGAAATAACACTTTCAAGCTAGGAACAGACTTGTTCTCAAATCTTGTTACACAGTGATAGCAAACTTGGAATAATCACCTGTGTTTTGGTGCTATGGAGACCTATATAGTGAGACTTTTTAGGAAGATCCCTAAAAAATCAATTTCTATTTAATAATGACTGGTACCCAGACAATATGTTGCATAAAGACAAACTTCCAGAGTTTGTTATGCTTCATCTGACTTTGGCGTTGGCGTTTGGGTGGCCCTGATAGGCTGAATAGAATTCTGTTTGTTTTTTAAGTCACTTTTCCAATGCTAATCTAAATTATATGTGTAGCAGCAGGCTTCATGGCAGTTTCTCTCTTTGCTCAAGGATGAGTTAACTGGCAAAAAAGCAAACAATTCTGACTGCATTTTCTACAAAAGGCTGCTTCTCAGAAAGACATGCACTAAAACTGGATTCTACCAACTGAGCAAAAAAAATCTAATACTTACCTCCATGGGATAAATTGAAGTCTGTGCAGTTGCCCCAGCCAGGGAACCAGATATAAACCTTTGCATGGTCCCGATCTTTCCATCTTCATCCACAAACATCTTCTTATACTGAGAGTTTAAAAAACAGAGACACTCAACAGGTTCTTGAATACTCCATATGATTGCACACTGCTTACAATATTATTGTGCAGTAGGATGTATGCAAGCCACACAGGGGTGTGCAAAAGATGCTCCATATGGCAAACTGATAATGTGGCTACCAAATTTCGGACTCTATATCCAAATAGGGACATAGGAAAAATGTGGATGAAAGACATAAACTTTACTTTGTTTGACAATTTAAAAGAAAATTTGTGTTTAAGATGATGTATAGATGATATCTAACTCCAAATAAGTTTTATTGTCAATGGCTTCATCGCTGGAATCACTGGGTTGTTGTAGGTTTTTTCAAGCTAAATGGCCATGTTCTAGAGGCATTCTCTCCTGACGTTTCACCTACATCTATGGCAATTACCCTCAGAGGTTGTGAGGTCTGATATCACAACCTCTGAGGATGCTTGCCATAGATGAGGGCAAAACGTCAGGAGAGAATGCCTCTAGACCATGGCCATATAGCCCGAAAAAACCTACAACAACCCAGTGATTCCGGCCATGAAAGCCTTCGACAATACGTTAAAATTAGCTGTTTAAAATTGTCTGGGTAGGCCTTTGTATAACATCCTGAACAACTTGGAGGAAAGGCAGATAACCATCTTGAGTTGAAGGAATATTTTATTGTTTTCCTTGTTGGAATTTTCCAACATATGTATCAGTAAAAGCAAAGGCAAGTTAAAGTGCCTGGAGTCCCATAATGGGAGGACACTTTCTCCTAGAAGAGGGTTAGGCCTTTACATAGCCCACAAAGCTGATTTAAAGGTAAATATAGCTCTGAAGCCATCTTACTACAAGTCAGTGGATGCTGACCTTGCAAGAGACTGAAGATGGACTTAACATGCATGCCATAACAGAATCGGAAATAGGGGTTAAGCCACTGCATACAACTAAGCTCACATTCGTGTGTTAAAATCCAATGGAAACCAAATATAAATTGCTCAGTGTGTGTGTCTGCTTTTTAAAGGAATAATAATAATAAAAGAAGAAGAAAGTAGCTTTACATCCTCTATGGAACATTTTTTTTCCCAGCTGGCTTCTTCCACTGAGTGCCAATTGCCTTGATTTAGCATCTTACCCGTTCGTATGCCCAGAACTTGATAGCCGTTTCGGGTGCAATTTTAACAACATTAACACCATTTCCTCTCCAGAGCGAACGGAGTCCTCCTTCTTTCACCATCTGCTGCAAACCGCCTGAAATGTTCATTTTCCCCTTTGAACCATGAACCTACACAGATATCACAAAAAGAGAAAACAGAATTACTCAAGATGTTTGAAAAGCTTTAGCAACAATAAAGTTCCTTTGTGTTTCGAGAGAAGAAAAAAGTGAGATATCCCTACGAGATTCCATGCTCTGCACTAGATTTTACCTTTCCCCACTGATATCTTAAAAAGGAAGATAAAAACGACATTTCCCATTCTCCTACATTGTTTATTTTGAATTCCTCAGTAGCTTAAGGATTAACAGTCCTGAGTGGGGAAAGACATGGGGAAAGGAGGTAAACAAGCTCTCCTTCTTGAATGGAGAATGCCACATACACTGATGGCCATATATTAAAGAATATACATACATACGAGGGTTGAATGAAAAGTAAGGCCTCCACCTTCGTAACTCAACAGATGGCAGTACTGGTATGTGACAGGTATTAGCTTGTTCAGTAGACTCTCCTCTACAGTTCCATTTTGGCAGAAAGCCTTAGCATTGAATGGTTGTATTGTTAAAGTGCAAAGTATGGAACCCTGCGGAGACGGTGAGTCAATGCGACTTAAGCAACGTGCAGTCATTGAATTCTTGATAGCAGAAGGTGTCACGCCAAAGGAGATTCATCAGAGAATACAAGCTGTTTATGGTGATTGCGTTGATGTGAGTACTGGGCGTTGTTGGACGAGTAGGCTTAAAGATGTTGAAGTGACACCTTCTGCTGTCAAGAATTCAATGACTGCACGTTGCTTAAGTCGCATTGACCGACTGTCTGCACAGGGTTCCATATTTAATAACACAACTGTTCAATGCTAAGCCTTTCTGCCAAAATGGAACTGTAGAGGAAAGTCTACTGAACAAGCCAGTACCTGTGGCATACCAGTTCTGCCATCTGTTGAGTTACGAATGTGAAGGCATTACTTTTCATTCAACCCTCGTATATACACATACATAAATAAACACACATTTCTAGTCTGCCTCCTATAGGAACAACGGAAAAATCCATTATTTCACATTTTTCCTTCTTTTGCTTGATTATTCAAAAGAGCTTATTGTTGGACCTTCAGTTCTATAGAAGCTATCTGCATTAATGAATAATCATATTGCTCATTTAACTGCAGTTAAAAATATTCAGGGGCAAAAAGAAAAAAATATTCAGGGGCAAAAAGAAAAAAAACACATATTCAAAAACCTCCCAAACTAAACATATGAGCATAAAAATACATATATTATATCCCCCACATGCCTGATTTTTCAGGAAGCCACTGTATTCTGCAAAACTTAGCCTTTTTATTGTTGTTCCAAGTAATAGGCAGAATATAGTGTCCATCTTGCTCTGCTCTCACTTCATACCAACTACAAAACTCACAAAAGAAAAATTGCACAAGGTGGGAAAGGAGAATACTTGGGTGTAGCCTTTCCTCCCTCACTATGAACATAGATATTTATTACATCTGTCCATTGACCAATTCTTGGCTCGGTCTCGAAAACATCTGATTAAGGTAAATCAGGCACTGGAAGGGAAAAGACCTCGTTTTGCCAAGACATGGTTTCCTGGACATCAAGGAACTCAAAGGAACCAAACTCTTGAGTAGCATCAGACTGAGTGGCAAGTCACAAACTATGCATTCCCTACATTCAGATAGTGGGGTTCTGTATGCACAACTCCTCGACCTTGGTATGACTCCATCTTCATAATCGTGAACACTACAAGACAGTTTAAAGTAAGAGCACGTTTTTTGTACATTACTTCATTCATTGTTTATGGAGGTTTCTTTTAAAACAAACTCAACACATCATCCCTCCTGTTCAAGGAGCTCCACTGGCTGCCATTCATCTACCAGACCCAATTCAAGGTTCAGGTTCTTACCTATAAAGCCCTGAACGGTTTGGGACCCGCCTACCTACGTGATCGCATCTCTGTATACGAACCCACACGATCCCTTCGATCTTCCGGAGAGGCCCTGCTCTCGAACCCACCAGCATCGCAGGCACGTTTGGTGGGGACGAGGGAGAGGATCTTTTCGGTGGTGGCCCCTCGACTCTGGAACTCACTCCCTAAAGACATCAGACAGGCCCCAACCTGGCAGTCTTCAGGAGGAGCTTGAAGACGTGGTGGTTCCAGTGTGCCTTCCCGGAATAATGAATCCCATAGCACTTTGTCCTCCAAAGCACTTTACATTTCCGAGTCTACTTGTATTCCCTCCACAAACACTAGTATCACCTTTCGTTTATGGCCCAGTATTATTTCCAATTTTAACTCTACATTTGGCCTTCCCACTGTTTTAATTATGTGTTGCTTTTTGATAATGTTGTGTATTTTATTGTCTATGTTTTTTAATTGCTTGTATCGATGTTTTATTGCTTTTGTTGTTGTGTTGGGCTCGGCCTCATGTAAGCCGCACCGAGTCCCTTGGGGAGATGGTAGTGGGGTACAAATAAAGTTAATAAAATAATTAATTAATTAATTAATTAAAAAGGAGAAAAACTACTTGCAAAAAGCCCTTAAAATAGTGGACTTTGGATTTACACTGCTAAAACAATAATAATAATAATAATAATAATAATAATAATAATAATAATAATAATAATACATCAAGGGAACCACTGACCGCATAGGGAAACTGATGAGGAAACACAACATACAAACCACTTACAGACCCACCAAGAAAATCCAACAAATGCTACATTCAGCAAAGGACAAGAGGGATCCTCTCACCTCTGCAGGAGTCTACTGTGTACCATGTAGCTGTGGACGAGTCTTCATAGGGACCACCAAACGCAGCTGCCCAAACACAAATCAAGGAACATGAAAGGCACTGCAGACTACTTCAGCCAGAGAAATCAGCCATAGCAGAGCACCTGATGAACCAACCTGGACACAGCATATTATTTGAGAACACAGAAATGCTGGACCACTCTCACAACCACCATGTCAGACTACACAGAGAAGCCATTGAAATCCACAAGCATGTGGACAATTTCAACAGAAAGGAAACCATGAAAATGAACAAAATCTGGCTACCAGTATTAAAAAACTCAAAAAAAAATTACAACAGCAAAACAACAGAGGGGAAACAAACAGGCACATAAAATCACTCAACAAAAGATTCCCCCCAGGCACTTCCAAGCCATTGAATGCTAATCAAGGTGATCAGCTGAAACATTCACACCTAGCCCCAGCAGACAAAAGTCCTTTGTCTCACCCTGGTCATTCCACAGACATATAAACCCATTTTTCCTACTTCCAACAGACCTCACTACCTCTGAGGATGCTTGCCATAGATGCAGGCGAAACGTCAGGAGAAAAATTGCCTCCAGAACATGGCCATATAGCCCGGAAAAACCTACAACAACCCAATAATAATAATAACAACAACTACTACTACTACTACTACTACAACTGCAACGACTTTTATTTCTTATCTGCTTCTAAAGAGTCAAAGTGGAGTACAAAACGGAGATATAATACAACAGATAACTAAACCCATTTGAAACATACAGATTAAATTCACATAAACAAAATACACATTAAAATCATCCATACCGATGAAGTGTCAATTTAAAATTCACAGTTTAAAACTGACTAAATAGACTTGCAAAAAGAAATAAGCCTTTAACTCTTTTTAAAATTCAGATGACAGGTTTAGTTGTCAAACCAATCCCAGAAGGATATTTCACAGTCTGGGGTGGCCAACAAAAAGGTCTTCTGGGCAACATCTGCCAGTCGAGCTCTGGTCGGTTGCAATAAATGTCCCCCAGAGGACCTATGTGTTCAAAGCGCGTTGTATAAGAGAAAGTGATCCTGCAGACAAACTGGACCCAAACCATGTAGAGCATTAAAGATCAAAACCAACACTTTGTACTTTGATAGAAACTAATTGGCAACCAGTGGAGTGATTTTAATATTGATGCATATAACCTGAGTGTATCTATAACTAATCTGGATGTCACAGTTTGGACCAGCGATTCTCAGAGTGTGCTCCATAAAGCCCTTGGATCTCCGTAAAGTATACCGAGGGGCTCCACGTCACTCCCCCTCCTTCCGCCTCCCCTCCTCCTCCCACTCCAAGCATAATAATAATAATAATCATCATCACCATCATCATCATCATCATCTTTATTTATACTCCGCCACCATCTCCCCAAGGGGGACTCGGAGCAGCTTACAAGAGGCCAAGCCCAACAATACATTACAGCAACATAAAATATAAACAACAAAATAACATCACAATAAAATAAATAAACTAATCAAGTAAAATAAACAGTACAAAATAACATAATGGAAAATAAAATGCAGTGGGCGGGCCAAACGCACAACATAAAATGATAAAACACTGGATAGGATAGCAATGAAAAGGTACATTTATGGGGGAGGAGCTCCCCTTTCCTGCTCCACCCTTTCTCCCCCCCACCTCCCTTGCCCCAAAACTTTGTTCCTTGCCTACTTGAACCCAAAATCTATTTTTCCCTCGCCTCCCATGCTCTCAAAAGCCTTTTTCCTTGCTTCCTTTGCCACCAATAGCCTTTTTCCCACACCTTCCTTGACATTAAGATCCTTTTCCCTTCACATCCCTCGCTGCCCAGACCTCTTTTTCCTCTCCTTCCTTGCTTTCTATTTCCTTCCCACTTCTCAAGGGGTACTTTGAGTGCTTTTCCTGCATGGCAGAAGGGGTTTGAACTGGATAGCTTCTGGGGTTTCTACTATTATTATTATTATTATTATCATCATAGAATCAAAGAGTTGGAAGAGACCTCATGGGCCATCCAGTCCAACCCCCTGCCAAGAAGCAGGAATATTGCATTCAAATCACCCCTGACAGATGGCCATCCAGCCTCTGCTTAAAAGCTTCCAAAGAAGGAGCCTCCACCACACTCCGGGGCAGAGAGTTCCACTGCTGAACGGCTCTCACAGTCAGGAAGTTCTTCCTAATGTTCAGATGGAATCTCCTCTCTTGTAGTTTGATCATCATCATCATCATCATCATCATCATCATCATCACTGTTATTGTGATTGTGTTTATTGGAATGTTATTTTGTTATTATGTTTATACTTTCTTTTCTTTTTCTATGTAATTTTGATAATGTTTCTTGTTGTTTATGTTTTGGTGTTATTTTGCTGTAACATGTTGTCCGGGCTTGGCCCCATGTAAGCCGCTCCGAGTCCCCATTGGGGACATGGTGCCAGCATATAAATAAAGATTATTATCATCACCACCACCATCATCATCATCACTACTACTACTACTACTACTACTACTACTACAAAGGCTGGGTGGCCATCTCTTGGGGGTGCTTTGATTGTGCTTTTCCGGCATGGCAGAAGGAGGTGGGACTGGATGGTCCCTGGAGTCTTCCACTGAAATACTGTTAGGTTTATGTTGCTCAAAAAGTTTGCCCATGCCTGATATATAATGTAATGTAATGTAATGTAATGTAATATTTCTTGAGACTCCATAACAAACTTTTCCTTCAAAAAGGGCTCCAAGGCTGAAAAAAATTGAGAACCCCTGGTTTGGACTAATTGGACTTTTAAAACTTGATAGAGAGGAAGTTTAATGCACAGCACATTGCAGAGATCCCAAGCCTAAGGCATACCATATTTAGGGCCTCCATTAAATTATTCTAGGAAGATACTCAGCTGGAATCTCAGCCAAAGCACACCAGCTACATGGGAAAACCGCCACTGAAACGCAGGCCATTTCCTTAAGCGATCTGCGATACAACATGGCACTCTGATCTTCAGATTCACGAAACCCAACTAGGTTTAATAACCCAGTCCTTTTAGGATAGGCCTGTCTAGAGTAGGAATCTTATCACATTAGGAAATACTCCATTTCTGAGACTGTTTGAGAATGATTTCGTAGAGATCCCATAACATGACGTTTGCACCATCCCGTCATTATTCTGCAGGAATCCATCTGCAAAGCATCCCAGAAATTGATTATTTGCAGTTGGAATTCTAATTGTGTTTTTTGAAATATGACAGATTTTTCAGTTTATTTATTTACTTTGCTTATATACCGCTATTCTCAGCCCGGGGGCGACTCACAGCGGTGTTGCTGAAGTGCTGTTTTTGTGTGTGATAGGAAGATCTGTAGGTATCCCATCAGCAATGTTACTTTTTCAAAAGTCATAGTTTTTAAATTCTCTGTGTTATTGTTATATATGATTTATATTATTTTGTAATGCTTTGTATTGTTGTTATTGCTTTTCTGTTGTGATGTGTGTTGGGCTTGGACTCTGCTCCGGGTCCCTTGGGGAGATGGTGGCGGGGTATAAATAAATTATTATTATTATTATTATTATTATTATTATTATTATTATTGTGTGATTTTTTTTGTCGTGTCAGGAACGACCTGAGAAACTGCAAGTCGCTTCTGTTGTGAGAGAATTGGCCGTCTGCAAGGACGTTGCCCAGGGGATGCCCGGATGATTTGATGTTTTTATCATCCTTGTGGGAGGCTTCTCTCATGTCCCCATGAGGAGCTGGAGCTGATAGAGGGAGCTCATCCGCCTCTCCCCGGATTTGAACCTGCGACCTGTCGGTCTTCAGTCCTGCCGACACAGGGGTTTAACCCACTGCGCCACCGGGGGCTCCATTATAGTGTGATAAAGGGAGTGTTTTGAATGGATTAGGAGCCAGCCTTCTGTGGTGTGTTGAGTCAAAGTGCAGTATTTCCAAATCATAAGAATCGCAATACCTGGGAAAAACATAAATTACGACTTTACAATAAGACCCCTTTGTGGATATCGCCAATGGAAGCAAGACACAAAAGAGATTTAGGGGAGGAGAATTGGTTAAGTTTCAAACAAATTCTTTAAAAAACCGCTGAAGGTGATCTTATTTTAAAACCTTACGATGAGTTAAAACTTTTGAATGAAAAAATAACCTGGTTACAATACTATCAAATTCAACAAGGATTTAAGGAGGATGATAAAATAGGTTTTAATCAAGAGGAAGGATTTTGGGAATTAATTCCGCAAAAAGATAAAAAGTTGATCAAAATCATATATCAAAAATTTTTAATCCGGTCTACGGAAGATGAACAAATTAAAAATTGCCAAATACAATGGGCAAAGGATTTAGGGCACAGCATCCTCACTGACCAATGGGAAGAAATCTGGAATAAAAAATTGAAATATACGGCCGCCAATGACCTAAAGGAAAATTGGTACAAAATGCTATACCGCTGGTATTATACCCCCGAAAAACTTGCCAAATTCAATAAAGGGATATCTAGCACCTGTTGGAAGTGTAAAGAAGAAAAGGGGACTTTCATACACACATGGTGGACATGCAAGCAAATCAAAAAATACTGGAAGGAAATACACTCCATGACCCAAAAAATTCTAAAGGCCAAATACCCCCTAAAACCAGAGACCTACCTATTAGGGATATCTGAAACAAAATTAACCGAAAACCAGGATAAGATGCTTTTCCTACCCAGCACTGCAGCCAGACTACAAATTGCAAGATTATGGAAACAAGATGAAATCCCCAGAGTGGAAGACTAGATAATCAAAGTATTCGATTTTGTGCAAATGGACTGTCTAACACAGAAACTGAACAATGCCCCGAAAAAAACCCCGGATTGGTCAGGTTTTAGAGACTTTATTATATCAAGAAAGATACCACTTTTGATAGACCTATCTAACTTCTGACAAGAGAAACAGTATCTAAAGTGATTATGAGAAGAATAGACTGAACTGTTTCAAAGTAAACCAAATGCTATTTAATTCTCAGAAGATTTTGGGAAGTACTACTACGATCACTTTTTAATGATCAGCAGGGGTAGCGGCGGTGTTGGTGCTTTGTATGTTTCCTTTTTTGGGGGGATCACTGTTAGTTTCATTAGTTCGCATCTGTTTCCATTTCTACCTCTTTCCTTTGCTTCTTTGCTTTATTGTAAATATCAAAATGCACAATAAAAATTTATTTAAAAAAAAGAATCGCAATACTCAGGTGTGATGAGGAGAGTATGCATCACGCCTCAATACAGTATGCATTCACTTCGAAAAATATAAAATGCATGTTGCTATAAATGGATTATATCCCAAGGTGATAAGGCCCTCGCTCTGTGGATCCCAAGTGATAAGCTTAAGGGCACCCACCTGCATCATGACTTTAAGGCGGTCAAGAGGTGCAGTGCCCGTCCGAGAAACGGCGCCAGCAACGCCTCCGGACAAAAGCTGCCTCCACCATTGCCCGGTCTTTTTCTCTTCTTCGGTGAACTCATCTGGAATAGTTAAACTATCTCCAATGTCCAATACCTGTGAAAATACAAAGCAAAAAGAGAGAGAAAGAATCAGCTATCCATTTCAACTGTACCGTATTTCAATATAAATAAAACTCGCTGTGAGGACATTTGTATGCAAAGATTGAAGGAAGCATACTTCCCCCACCCCACTTGGTTACATCTTAAAAAATGCTTTAAATTAAAAACCCACCATTTCAAAAACCGCTCCATCATCATTAAAAATGACAACAAATTGTTGCCTCGAATACGGTTGAAATAAAGGCATTGCATCAGGATATAAGGTGCTTTCCAAACAGCTTTGAAATCCAAATGGTTGCAAAGCACAGTTAGACTTTCTTCCAGGCGGCTTTTAAGGATTATCAAGATTAACCTCTTTACAGCTTCCTAAAAAGATTATTAAGTCCAGTGACTTGGCAATTCATCCAAGTATTTGTACCTCAATGGAATTATCAGATTACACTTTTCAAAAAAAGACAAACTGTGTGACTTTTGCAACATAATCGGTTTGGCAAGTCAATCCATGAATTTCCAATCTCGACTCTCCTAGCAGCTCGCATCTTTCAAGAATTGTTTATTAGCATCTTCACACATACGAGGAGCCCCCGGTGGCACAGTGGGTTAAAGCAGGTCGAATCCGGGGAGAGGTGGATGAGCTCCCTCTATCAACTCCAGCTCCACATGCAGGAACATGAGAGAAGCCTCCCACAAGGATGATAAAAAACATCAAATCATCCGGGCGTCCCCTGGGCAACGTCCTTGCAGACGGCCAATTCTCTCACACCAGAAGCAACTTGCATTTTCTCAAGTCGTTCCTGACATGACCAAAAAAAACCCCAAAACATACAGGGAATAATCTAGTAAAAATACACTGAATTTAGATGAATGAGGAAACCTAGCTCAAGAACATAAGATTATTCATAGAATCATAGTTGGAAGAGAACTTGTGGGCCATCCAGTCCAACCCCCTGCCAAGAAGCAGGAAAACTGCATTCAAAGCACTGCCAACAGATAGCCATCCAGCCTCTGTTTAAAAGCCTCCACCACACTCTGTGGCAGAGAGTTCCACTGCTGAACAGCTCTCGCAGTCAGGAAGTTCTTCCTAATGTTCAGATGGAATCTCCTTTCTAGTACTTTGAAGCCATTGTTCCCTGTCCTAGTCTCAGGGCAGCAGAAAACAAGCTTGCTCCCTCCTCCCTATGACTTCCTCTCACATATTTATACACGGCTATCATATCTCCTCTCAGCCTTCTCGTCTTCAGGCTAAACATGCCCAGCTCTTTAAGCCGCTCCTCATAGGGCTTGTTTATTTAATGACAGAAATGTCCTGGGCTACTAACTCTTAAATTATACCATTGACGAGTGCCATGGCATTCTCTATTATATTGTATCATATTGACATTTAGATTGGCAGGTGTGTATCACAGGAAAATGTACATTGGGACACATAAAACCGTGCACCAAGAATGGGCAGTAGGTAAGCCTGTAGTATTATTAATACTGACAATTGCTGCTTACCTCCTGCTACAAAGCTTTTGTTACCAGCAATCCCAATATCGAGATTTCCTTCCTTCACGTGTCCTCTCTGTACCTGATATTCTAAGCAAAATTTTAAGCAAATAGTGGAATGGACCAAAATAATATGCCATTGTATCAGAGTGATATGGTGGGAAGAAGTGATGCTGACCTAAATCATGCCTGACTATTCATTTTGGACTCAGATATAATATCTACAGTATTTGAATCATATAGGATTCAAAGCAGTTCATACACTTTCTAAGTAATCTTTATAAGCTGTAAGGTGGAGCAGTCCTGTAGCCGCTTTGAGTCCTTATATCAAGAGAAAGGCAGGATAGAAATAATAAATATCTCTAGAGAGATATTGAAGATGTAACTATTTAAAACTAAATCCATGCTGTTTGTAAGATGGGGGATATCTTTCCAAGTACTTTTCCTAAAGCAGAGAAACAGTGCCTAGTCTTGGCCCCTTCTACACTGCCATATAATCTAGATTATCAAAGCAGATAATCCACATTATAGGCTTTGAACTGGATTATATGAGCCTATACTGCCATGCAATCCAGTTCAAAGCAGAACATTTGGATTTTGTTATGTATTTATTTTGATGGTATTTTTGCTTTTTGGATTTTATTTTGCTGTATTTTATTGTATTTTGTTGTAATTTTGGGCTTGGCCTCATGTTAGCCGCCCCGAGTCCCCTTCGGGGAGATGGTGGTGGTGTATAAATAAAGAATATTATTATTATTATTATTTTCTATGGCAGTGTAGAAGGGCCCCTAGTGTCACAGCTACCAGCAAAGATGTTAATCTTTCTCACAAATATTTAAAAGTCTCTTTGCCCTTGTTCCTGTAACCATCCCTGCTTTTTTCCCCAAAAACAAATAAGGAAATAGTCCATTTGTAGCAATGCAATAAAATAGAAGTCATACTCACTGTGGAATGCTTCCAGTAACGAATGATGCCCTGAATGTCTGTAGCTGGATTAAATAAAAAATGGTCCCTCCATTCATTCCAGTCCACTGACATGGTCCCATCCGCATCCATGCTTAAAATTCAAAATGAAAGCATCAGCATGTCACACATTAATTCACATTAAATTATTGTTCTATACAAGGAACGACAAATATTATGTGTGCTCTCAACTGGAATTCTCATTATTATCTTCAGAGGACATTTCTTTTCATTGTGTCCATAAGTTTTGCTTATTGATATGAGATATGAATTTTAGTGTGAAAACTTTCCTTAACTTTTTAAAATTTTACTTGCCTTACAACGAACCTGAAGGTGAGATCATCATTATTCCTTTTAAATATATTATAACTGAGGTTACCCTCCCAGCAGGACTATAAAGAACGAATATGTATTGAGCTTTCTACAACCAATGCATAAAGTATAGATAAGGTAAAGGCTTCCCCTGGACATTAAGTCTAGTCATGTCTGACTCTGGGTGGGGGGGGGTCTCATCTCCATTTCTAAGCCGAAGAGTCGGCATTGCCTATAGATGTCTCCAAGGTCATTTGGCCAGCACCTTCCCACCAGAGCAATACCTATTGATCTACTCACATTTGCATGGATTCAAACTGCTAGGTTGGAAGAAGCTGGAGCTAACAGTGGGAGCTCAACCACTCCCTGGATTCGAACAGCCAATCTTTTGGTCAGCTAGTTCAGCAGTTAAGCCTGCTGCACCACTGGGGGCTCCGTGCATAAAGTATATTAAGATCAAATTAATTTCAGTAAAGGATGCATCCAGATTGGCAAGTATTACTTGAAGGTCTCTTTTCCCCATACTTTCCTCAACACATTGTTCCCACACTTTTTTGTAATCAAGATATCTCTTATCTTAATAATCACAATTGTTCTTTCCTATTCTGCTCCCCTGTCTTTGGAGCAACTTTTATTCTTAATAAAAATATCTAATAATATAAAAAGAAAGCCTGAAGCAATTTCGGAATTAACTTAATTTTGAACAACAAATCATATACACACACCCAAGACTGGGATGCATCTATCATTTTGAGGGACAGTTTCTTAGGTAATTAGGATTGAAAAGTCTATGAGGTTACAATGGGGGCACTGGTAACCTTAAATGCATTGATCCCTGGAAAACAGGACGGTTAAATATTGACTTCTTGCTTCTCATTCTTTGTTCATCCAGCAACAAAGTATAGGATGCTGTTTATGGTTGATCATGACATTTCTAGGATTGCACTGAGCCTGTCAACTTTAGCACAAGCTGGCTTAAGAAATCCTGCTGTATCCTTATATTTTCACTTGTTATCCATATATTTTGGACACATAATCTTTTGGAAAGGCAAGACTTTTTAGATCAGTGGTTCTCAACCTTTCTAATGCTGTGACCCCTAAATACAGTTCCTCATGTTGTGGTGACCCCAACCATAAAATTATTTTCATTGCTACTTCATAATTGTAATGTTGTTCCAGTTATGAATCGTAATGTCAATATCTGATATGTAGGTTGTATATTCATTTATTGAACCAAATTTGGCACAAATGCCCAATAGGCCCAAATTTGAATACTGCTGGGGTTGGGGGGAGGGAGAGATTTTGTCATTTGGGAGTTGTAGTTGATGGGATTTATAGTTCACCTACAATCAAAGAGCATTCAGAACTCCACTAATGATGAAATTGAACTAAACTTGGCATACAGAACTCCATTACAAATAGAAAATACTGAAAGGATTTGATGGGCATTGAGTTTTGGAGTTGTAGTTCACCTACATCCAGAGAGCAATGTGGACTCAAACAATGATCGATTTGGACCAAACTTGGCATGAATGCTCAATATGGCCAAATGTGAACAGTGGTGGAGTTTGGTGAAAATCGTCCTTGACATTTGGGATTTACAGTTCAACTGCAATCAAAGAGCATTCTGAACCCCACCAATGATAAAATTGAGCCATGGTCTACAGATGGTTTGCGACCGGCTCAGGGGTCCCGACGATGGTGAAAGCGGGAGGCGGGCGAGGGGGCTTGGAGCGAAGTTAGGCCTCGCACAGAGATCCCCTCGCCCGCCTCTCACCCTCGCCGAATGGTTGAGAACTGCTGTTTTAGATCATAACCTTTTGGAAAACCAGAATCTTCAAAGCCTTTTGGAAGCGTGACCTTTTTGGAGATTAATTGGAATTGACACCATTTGGAATTTATTTATTTTTGTAAAGTATGATCTTCCTGAGAGAGATAAAAACTTGTTGAATACATCTTCCTTTTAGTGGTAAATATCCACTAGTTTTCAAGCAAGGCAAATTAGGTTTTTCAGCTGTTAGACTGATAAACTTAGTAATCTCTCTGAACTGCCAGGAACAAAGATTAAGCCAATGCACAAACTATATAGTAGATCTTCAGAAGTGTTATTTCAGTTGGCCAAAAACATCTACTCTCCCTTAAATCATCTTGATTTAAATCATGCTTTCAAGAGACAAAATTAAAGTAGACTTGGTTGAAAGTAACATATCTAGTTTACTCACAACCTTCATGTATTCAGCATCTAGGTGCATAACTTGTCAATCCAGTTACAGATAGGATTTGAAGTAGTTTCTCTGTGCAGATAACACAGGGCATCTTTCTTATGATCTTAATAGTCCAAAGGTTAAAGCATCTCAGTGTTCTGATGGTGTCTGAAGTCTAAAAATGGAGTCTGAGATCTGAATAGTCCCAGATATAATCACATGGTCTATAGTTTCTTCCACAGCATAGAATTCAGGAAAACTGCATACCAGTACACATATACAATACAGTAAGCTATCTGAATTAGATACTTAACAAATAACTAGTACAGGATAATGTACCATAACAGGCGGAGTTGTAGGTGCAGCCAATATGGCTGGGTGCCATAATTTTACAAGGCACACATCAGCACCTAGTAAGACACACATTGTAAGAATCATACCCTTTTCCAGAAACAGGAATAGTTACTAACCTTTTCAGAATCCTTGTAGCTTGTTTTTCTGAAATATCTATACCCAGTATCTTGAGGGACTGAACAATCTCAGATGCATCAATCTTTCCTTTAAAAAGGAGTGAGAAAAGGATGGGGAGAAATCTATATAAATAAAAGTGTAATGTTCACTTGTGGGATTAACAGAACTCAAAAACTACAGGACGAATTGACACCAAATTTGGACACAGTACACCTATCAGGCTAACGAGTGACCATCACTCATAAAAACACTGAAAAACACAGTGGAAGGGACTTTAAAAGCCAAAAAACAAAAAAATACATTACAACGCATGTGCAAAACCACATATGTACACAAACACATATATACAGAAATATATATACAATAGGCCTGGGTAACAACGGAAAAAATTGTTTCTAAACTCGTTTCGTTTTTAGGGGGTCCATTGCGTTTCGTTTTTTTAAAAGAATTCCGAATTTTTCTTTAAAAAAATTTCGTTATTTACGAAATTTCGTAAATTTCGAATTGATTCGTTAATGGTGGACGCAATTGCGCAATACGCTAAAAAAACCTCCAAATGAGACAGGGGGAACTTCTGAAGCTTCCCTCTCCCTCTGTTGTTGACTGTTGGTGTGATAATTTATTTTTTTATCACTGATAAAACAAACAACAACTATAAAACTTGCACCAGACATACGGAAATAATAACGAAACAATTTCGAAACGATTTCGAACCAATTACGAAACAATTACGAAATAAATTGAAAAATTCATTTCGATTTTTAGTTGCGCCTGCATGGCTCAATATCGGATCGTAAGCTAATTTAAATATGAATCAATAACGAATTACGAAATTAACGAACAAACCGCCCAGCCCTAATATACATACATATATGAATACACAAAACACATACACAGAAAGGGGGAAGGAAGGAAGGAAGGAAGGAAGGAAGGAAGGAAGGAAGGAAGGAAGGAAGGAAGGAAGGAGAGAAGGACAGAGAGAAAGAGGGAAAGAAGGAGAGAAGGAAAGAAAGAAAGGTAAAGAAGGAAGGAAGGAGAGAAGGAAATAAAAAAAAGTGAAAGAGTGAAGGAAGGAGAGAARAAACAAAAGAGAGAAAGAGGGAGRGAGGGGAGGAAGGAAGGAAAGAGACAAGGAAGGATGGAACCAAAGAGCAAAGGAAGCGAGAAAAAAAACAGATAGAGAAGGAAGAAAGAAGAAGGGGAAAAAAAGAGGGAAGGAAGGAAGGAGAGAGGGAAGAAAGGAGGGAAATAAAGAAGGAGAGAAAGAGTGAGGGAAGTCTAGCCACAGCAACGTGTGGCAGACACAACTAGTAATATTCTAAAAAAACTATCCAGCTCCAAGTCAACTGCTTCGGATTGAACAGAGTATTAATTCTTAGTAAAGACAGTCAAGTGATGAACCGTATGTTACTTTTCACAGCAAGATTATTTTCTGATATTAACTATGTTGGACTGACAATGCTAGCTCTAGTCAGAAGGAGAGGTTTGATATGGTTGACGCGCCTTCCTCTTGGCACGTTTCTCTCTTTTGACCTCCATTCATACCTTTTCAAATTCTACAGCACTGCTGGTCACAGCTGACCTCCAACTGGAGAGCTCAAGGGCCAGGACTTCCCAGTTCTCACTGTCTATGCCAGAATTTTTAAGGTTGGCTTTGAGCCCGTCTATAAATCTCTTTTCCTGCCCACCAACATTCTGTTTTCCGTTCTTGAGTTTGGAGTAGAGCAACTGCTTTGGGAGACGGTGGTCGGGCTTCCAGACAACGTGGCCGGTCCAACGGAGTTGATGACGGAGGACCATCGCTTCAATGCTGGTGGTCTTTGCTTCATGGGGTCCTGCATCCTCAACCCTAGAGAAAGTGGAGTTCCTACTACTATAGGCAATCCCTTGTGAGTATGATTGTGTTCCAAGGGTAGAGTCTTGGTGGTAGATCTGTAAGTGACCGTAGAGAGCTATTCTGGATCTGCATGGTCTTTCACAATGAGGACATAGATTTTCAAAGAAAAGCCAGTCACAACAAGGGTTTGCTTGCTGTGCTTCCTCTCAGCACGTTTCTCCCTTTTGCCCTCTATTTGTGCCTCTTCAAAATCCATAGCATTGTTGGTAACAGATGACCTCCAGTTACAACGCTTGAAGGCCAGGACTTCCCAGATCTCCTGTTTTCTAAATATACAACGTACTGCTTCCAGCTACTATTCTAGTTATGATTCATGCTGGTAGATTTCAGAACAGTAATTTGAAAAGCTATTTAGATTCCACAAACTCATTTACTGTTCTACAACAGTAAAGGACATTAAGAATTTCAATTTTCTATTATAATTGGCAACCGTAATTGATCTATTGAGCCAATGTGGTATAGCGGTTGGAATTATGGTTTGAAGGTAAAGGTTTCCCCTGACATTAAGTCTAGTTATATCCGACTCGGGGGCGGGGAGGGGGTTACTCATCACCATTTCTAAGCCAAAGAGCCGGTGTTATCTGCAGACACTTCCAAGGTCATGTCGCCAGCATGACTCCATGGAGCGCTGTTACCTTACCACCAAGGCAGTACCTATTGATCTACTCACATGGCAGAAGCTGGGCCTAACAGCAGGAGCTCACCCCGCTCCCCAAATTCGAACCACCAACCTTTTGGTCAGCAAGTTCAGCAGCTCGGCACCACTAGGGGGTCCGAATTATGGTTTAGCACTACAGAATATCAAGGTTCAAATCCCTGCTCAGCCAGTGGGCGACCATGGGCTAGTAGCCCTCTCTTGAGCATCAGTGAACGGCAATGGCAAACGTCATATAAACAAACCTTGCTGAGAAAATGCCATGATAGGGTATCGTTTGGATCACAATAAATAGGAAATGACTTCAAGGAACATAACAACTACAACCATCCCAAGACATTGATTTATCGAGAGCTTTCTTGTTTGTTTCACTTGGCTTAATACATCAATGTTGCTTTTTTGAGTTGCTACATTGTGGTCGGATCTCCACTGCCCTATATCCCAGGATCTGATCCCAGATTATCTGATTTGAACTGGTTTATATGAGTCTACTCTGCCAGAAAATGCGGGATATGTAGATAACGTGGGATGAGATCCTGGGATACAGAGTGGTGTAGAAGCAGCCTGAGTGTGGAGCGCTCAAAGAAATCTATTTCATATCCCTTTTGCCTGACAAACAAATAAGAGGGAAAATTTCACCTTACCATCATTGTTTTTGTCCAGACTTTTAAAGGCTAGCTTCATTTTCTTCTCATGGTCTTTAAGATACTGTGTGAATTCTTCAAAGTCCAGCCGGCCATCCTGGTTAGTATCACCAGCTCTGAAAATTTTCTGTTAAAAAAGCATAATGACAAAACATTAGTAAACACTTAATTTAAAAAATTCTCATTTTCTAAAATACAGTTATTTTTATATCATATATTCATTCATTAAATAAAAATTAACCAAAAAAAAAAGCCCAGAAATATGGGTGAATTAATAAAATAAGCAATTTAGCTAAGCAGTGTTCTCTTTTTGGACAAGCTGCACAGAATCTTTCTACTGAAATACAGCAACCTCTTATTCCAGTCAATAGAGAGGAATATCCTATTAACATCACTGTACGCTGAAGGTCAGCCCTGACGTAAAAACCTCTAAGAAGCCTACGTTGAAGATGTAACCATAATACATATTGCCTGGCAAAAGTAGCTAGTTACGTCATGTTATTAAGCACTGATCACTTACTAGAGGATTGATCAAATGCCTCTTTCTGATGCCACAGAATTATGGTGATCATGCCACATGATCACCATAATTCTGCATGAAATAACACACACAAAAACAGAACTTGGAACGTTCTTTTAAAAAGAAATGTTTCAGAAAAATATCTGGGTTTTGATACTTATTGAAAACTAGCCGTCCCCTGCCATGCATTGTTGTGGCCCAGTGTATATATGTTTGTGTATATATTTGTGTATATATGTATATATGTGGTTTTGTGAATGCGTTGTAATGTATTATTTATTTATTTATTGCTTTTTAAGTTTCTTCCACTATGTTTTTCAGTGTTTTTATGAGTGGTGGTCACTTGCTGGCCTGATAGATGTATTGTGTCCAAATTTGGTGTCAATTTGTCCAGTGGTTTTTGAGTTATGTTAATCCCACAAACGAACATTACATTTTTATTTATATAGACTAGCCGTCCCCTGCCACACGTTGCTGTGGCCCACATGGGGGTTCTGTGTGGGAGGTATGGCACAATTCTATTGTTGGTGGGGTTCATAATGCTCTGTGATTGTAGGTGAACTATAAATCCCAGCAACTACAACTCCCAAATGTCAAGATTCTATTTTCCCCAAACTCCACCAGTGTTCACATTAGGGCATATTGATTTATTATTTCGATTTATTTCGAGGTTTTATATACCGACCCTCTCACCTTCAAAGAGGGATTCGGACCGGTTCACAACATGTGTTAACATACAAAGAATATACAATAACAACACAATGCCACTTCATTACACGATTAAAATATCAGCACCATACACATTAAAACATTATCATCCCAGTTAAAAGAGCCAAATCGTCCGACACCATCACAATCCCATTCATCATCCTCCTTTCATGTGGGCAAAGAATTAAATCAGTTGTCAAATGCCGCGTTCCACAACCAGGTCTTTGTTAGTTTCCTGAACGTCATGAGGGAGGGGGCAGTTCTGATCTCTAATGGCAGGGAGTTCCAAAGTCGAGGGGCCACCATCGAGAAGGCCCTGTCCCTCGTCCCCACCAGCCGTGCTTGTGCAGGCGGAGGGACCGAGAGCAGGGCCCCTCCAGACGATCTTAGTGGTCTTGATGGTTCGTAGGGGAGAATACTTTCGGAGAGGTAAACAGGGCCGGAGTCGTTTAGGGCTTTATAGGTTAACACCAGCACTTTGAATTGTGCTCGGAAGCTAATCGAATATTGAGTATTCTTGTAGAGTTTGGTACAGACCCATCATTGTTTGAATCCACAGCGCTCTCTGGATGTAGGTGAACTACAACTCCAAAACCAAAGGACACTGCCCACCAAACCCTTCCAGTATTTTCTGTTGGTCATGGGAGAACTGTGTGCCAAGTTTGGTTCAATTCCATCATTGGTGGGGTTCAGAATGCTCTTTGATTGTAGGTGAACTATAAATCCCAGCAACTACAACTCCCAAATGACAAAATCATTTTTTTTAAGTGAAGGACATACATTGGGTTGTTAGGTGTCTTGTGTACAAATTTGGTGACAATTTGTCCAGTGGTTTTTGAGTTATGCTAATCCCACAAACTAACATTACATTTTTATTTATATAGATAGTAACCCAGTGATATTGCCATGATGATGATTATTAACATTTTAATCACCCATGATTTTGTTTCTTTTTCTTCTCGCTGTTCCTTAATTTTAGAATCCTGCACTGAAATTTAATACCCTCCAACATTTTTCACTTCGAAAACATGCCATACCTTAGATTGCTATTGCCCCTATTCTCAGATCTTTCCTGAAGATTCAGCCAGTTAGATCTTGAAAGAACATGCTTTGTTGTGATAACATCTTAGCATCTACCTATGGCAGCTGTAGCAGCTAAATACCCTAAGGGCACCAGATCTGCCTAATTTTGAAGCTAAGCAAAGTGAGCCCTGGTTAGCACTTAAGCTCTCTTTCAAAGGGAGGGGGGGTGACTGGCAAAATCACCTCTAAGTATCCTCTGCCTAAGAAAACATATGGACTCACTGTAAGTTAACAAGCAATTTGAAGATGCAAGGGTTGAATGAAATGCCTCCACCTTCATAACCCCTCAACAGATGGCAGTACTGGTATGCGGCAGGTACTGGCTTGTTCCGTAGACTCTCCTCTACAGTTCCATTTTGGCAGGAAGCCTTAGCATTATTATTATTATTATTGTCATGTCAGGAGCGGCTTGAGAAACTGCAAGGCGCTTCTGGTGTGAGAGAATTGGATGTCTGCAAGGACGTTGCCCAGGGGACACCTGGATGATTTGATGTTTTTTATCATCCTTGTGGGAGGCTTCTCTCATGTCCCCGCATGAGGAGCTGGAGCTGATAGAGGGAGCTCATCCGCCTCTCCCTGGATTCGAACCTGTGACCTGTCGGTCTTCAGTCCTGCCGGCACAGGGGTTTAATCCACTGCGCCACTGGGGGCCCTGCCTTAGCATTGAATGAATTGTACTAGCCATAGGCCATGACATCAGTAATACACTAACTTTATAAACACTTTCCAATATAAACCTTAAAATGTAACAAGAATTAAAACTAAAACAAGTTCTTTAAAATTATGAAAGCAGAAACATGACAATAACAGTGTCTGCTTTGTGTCATTCCAAACCATTTCCATTTCTGACCCCCAGTATGGATTTTGCTACTTTGGCTCTGATCTTTTGGGCTGCGATTGCGAATGTGGCAACCTTTAGTGTTATATTTTTAGAATGATCTGCTAGCAAGTCGCAGATCACCGCAGATTGTTGCCATGATGCCCTTTCTTCCAAGAGTGATCCTAGGAGATTTTTCCTAGGGTCATTGTACAAGGGGCAACGTAGCAAATAGTGTGTTAGGTCTTCTATTTCCCCTGTGCCACAAATGCAAAGTCGTTGGGCATGGGGGATCCCTCTGTATCTTCCCTCTAGCCAGTTTGATGGCATTGTTTGGAATCGCAGGGCTGTAAATGCTTTCCTCAGGACTGCTGACGTTAGGTCTTGAAGATATTGTTGACGATATTGGTCACTTTTTAGCCGAGGATACCAGGTAGAGAAACCTTGCAGTTTGCTAATCTGCAAGTTGTCAGCTGCATCCCTCTCAAAGATTTTGTCTCTACTTGTATTTGGAGAATCAATTTTCACTTAGTAGGAACTCGAGAGATGTCAAATTTAACAAGAATGGACTGGAATTATTCTCATTGGTTTATAAACATTTATTACTAATCATGAATGGCAGCCATCTAGAGGAGCCTTAGCATTGAATGGTTGTGTTGTTAAAGGGCAAAGTATGGAAACCTGTGCAGATGGTCGTCAATGCAACTTAAGCAATGTGCAGTCATTGAACTCTTAGCAGCAGAAGGTGTCACCCCAAAGGAGATTCATCAGAGAATGCAAGCTGCTTATGGTGATTGTGTTGATGTGAGTGCTATGAGTCGTTGGGCAAGTAAGTTTAAAGATGTTGAGGTGGGAACATTTGACTTGCGTGACAAAGAGTTGGGCGTCCTGTGACAGCAACCACCAAGTTTCACAAGCAAAAGGTTGACAGACTGATTCAGGACGATCGTCGTATCACTCACAGAGAAATTTCAAGCATGACTGGCATTTCACAAGAACGTGTGGGTCACATTATTGCTTTGCTTGGCTATCGGAAGATCTGTGCACGATGGGTACCCAGGATGAGAGAACTGTGAGATGCTGATTGCAGAAACAGAGTGTCAATTTCTTCCATGACAGCTTCAGAAAACTAGTTCATTGTTGGCAGATATGTATCCAATTGTCTGGTGATTATGTGGTAAAGTGAACAGTTGTAGTTAAAGAGCACATTCTAAGGATTATTTCTGCATTTGATTTATTAAAATATTCCCACCCAAACACTAGTAACAAAGGTGGAGGCATTACTTTTCATTCAACCCTGGCAGGTCTAGTTTGTATCTGGCAGGTCTAGTTTGTATGTTTCTCTGCCCAAAAAAGCAACAAAAATCTGGCAGCAGAAACAGCAACATTCAGAAACTAACAAGTGAATATTCAACTTTCTAGCATGTTCAAAGACCAATGACCTGGGAGGATCAATGAGCAAAATGCGTTAGACTACAATTTCCATCATCCATGATCATATAATTTGGGGGATGATGAAAGGTGGAGTCCAACACATCTGGGGAAAATGACATTATGGAAAGCTCTTTAAAATAATATAGATAAGAGTGCTCAAATATACAGGACTGTATCCAAAGTTTAGCCAGTATTGCACCACCTGACATCCGCCGGGAAGTAGCAACCAATAGTGAAAGGACCAAGGCAGTGACATCTCCAGCCCATCCTCTGTTTGGGTATCAGCCAGCACGTCAACGACTTAAACCAAGAAATAGTTTTCTAAGATCTACAGAGACACTTGCTGGAACACCTCAGCAAGCGAGAGTCCAAAAGTGGCAGGCTCAAACCCAGAACCTCAACCAATGGCTGATACCAAATGAGAGACTACCCCCATGGCACACAAAACTGGGCAACTTGGAAGGTGCTGAACAGACTGTGCTCTGGCACCACGAGATGCAGAGCCAACCTTAAGAAATGGGGATACAAAGTGGAATCCACGACATGCGAGTGTGGAGAAGAGCAA